AAATAATACATTTTTCATTTCATTTCATTCAATTTTTATTCTTCTTATAAATATTTGTTATCACCATTTATTTTCGTTATTTCTTTCTTTGTGATTGTTTTTACGAATATAAAATTTCGACTCGTATTGGTTTTGTGCTATTTTAATATTTATTATTGATTTATTATTTTCTTTTTTGTAATTTGTTATTCTTGAATTGTATCGTTGAATATAAAAATTGGTGCTGTATTTTTGTAGAGTTTCTGATTGGCCAATCTTAAACTTTGTTATATGGGAACATAAATAACTTCACGTTGGTTATATTTTTCTTATTATTTGAATTTTTAACTGTAACGTTCTTTTTATTTTTATTTTCTAGGTTATACGTATTATTTAATTTGTTAGTTCTCTCTTATTATACTTTTAATTTAATATTGTTCTTTTTTTTTTTTAAAGTATAACATTTATTATACTTTTCTCACGTATCGTTATTTAGTTTATTCTTTTTCATATTGAAAAGAATTTTCAAACCAAAATTCTGTTTTTCAATAACCAATCAATCACAATCATTCATTACCTTACAACAACATGGCGACATTCGATTCCATTATTTAATATTTTTATCAATGAGAGTGAAAACAAAACAACACAACACAACACCGCACTTTAATGAAAAATTCACGTTTAGAAAAAACCAACCAATCAACGATCATAATATTTATTCGAATGATAAAAAAGAAAAAGAAACCAACACGCTTCTTCAATTCAAAAAACATTCGGTCTTTGCAACGTACGAATTTAAAATGAAGATTTTAAAATTGGCGCTTCACGTTGAAGGAACCTAGGGATCCTGTAGGAGGGATACGCCATTCATATTCACCTCATGTGCTATTGGCTGAAAATTTTGGGGGACCGCTTGAATTTATAATAATTTTTTCGTGTAACCTATTCTATTTTAATATAAATTTTTAATTATCATTAAATATAGTTCTTTTTTTTCTGTATTTAATGCAATTCATTATTTCTGAATTATTTTAATGTTTGAATCATTCGCGCGCAAAATCGAGTTCCGGTCCCCCAGCAATTTACATGGCGCATCCCTCCTACAGGATTCCTAAAGGAACCAATCAGAGTCTTAGCTTACTCGCGCCAAACTTCACGTGTGGTTTTGTATAAGAGTCCGCTATTTCTTAGTTTTGTGTTGTTCCTCGGGCAACTCTTTTACGGTGAAGAGATAGACCATCTGGTCACGCAGGTTTTCCCGCGTCATAAACGACAGCATCTTGGAGCGTGAACATAGCCCCGTGTTCACCGATACGATAGTATTTACATCTCTCTCTCTCTCTCTCTCTTTTTCTTTCTTACTTCGCCACGCTTACCAAGGTAAATACAAAGCAAACTGTAGTCTTTCTTCTTCATCTTCATCTTCATCATTGATGCAACTTAACGTTAAGAATAGTATACGATACGCGCCAAGAAACATCACTCTACGTATTCCTAAGAAACTGATCTTCTTCAAACTTTACGACACCTTAAACAAAAGAATTATCCATAGTTTTTTTGTTTTGTTTTGTTTCAAATGAGAATTCTTCACTTGGAAAGATTTTGCGAATTCCTTTCTGTTTATCTTTCTTTCTTTCTTCTTTATTTTTTCTCTCTCTCTCTCTCCTTCTCTTTCTTTCATCTGGAAACCGAGAAGAGGTACCGTTGTATCGTCCTTGAAACGAACACACCCGATACATTGCCGGAACGCGCTAAGCTAAGCACAAGAGATGCGCGCAACAGTAACACAACATCGTGTTGCATCTTCTCATTCTTGCATACCTAAACTCTGACGTTTGTTGTCTCTTTATTTAAAACAAATTCAACTCTATATATGTATATATATATAGTATGATATATTATGAATAGGTATATATTTTTTTAATATATCGATGAAAGAACAAAATGAATATAGAAAATAAAATGGCGGAGTAGTAGGGGTAGGAGGAGGAGGAGGAGGGGGAAAAAATGAAGAGTTGGGTTTTGGTGGGGGAAGAAACACTTCCGTACGAGATGCTTGCACCGAGTTAGATAATACACCTTCCTGAACTTCCGCTCTCTTCGTAATTGACAGGTTGCGTTCATAATAGATCGCTGCCTTCGCAGATGCATCGATTCACTTCCACCATATATATATATATATATTTTATAACCTATACACTACCACGTCATATATATTCCGATCATAAAATATGATACGCGTGGCATATTATTTCCGCATGAGTTCAAATCCATATCATTTTTTTTTTCCTCTTTTTTTTTTTTTTGGTGTGAATTAGTTATCAGTAATAATTTAGGAGAAACATTTAAAGTGGATTAATTACTTGGTAATTAATCAAACATATATACACGGAGATATTATTAATTACATCGATGTTGGGTTAGAGAGAAAGAGAGACGAGAGAAAATTATAATGCAAATAAATGAATAATAATAATATCGTATTCCCTATTCCATTAGATTTCTAGAGGATTAATTTGTCAAAGCAGCTAACTGTTCGGAATTTGCAAGAATTATTTTTACAATTCTCTATTATCATCCTATATTATCGGAATACGATTGGAATATGCAACATGATGATGATGATCGTCAAAAAGAAAAATAAAAGATAAATATGTCGTATAAATAGGTATATATGTGTCGCATATTTAGATGATTAATCTATCAAATATGGTGTACTTTATTTAACACTAGATATACCACCATTTTCAGTATATCTATTTCTACCACACTAGTCAAAATGACTAGTCTGATATATCTAATGTTAACTGGGAGAAATAAAAAATGAAAAAAACAAAACAAAACATTAATAATAATAATAATAATAATAAATAAATAAATTTAAAGGAATCAAATTCGAGTCTCTTCTAAGATATAAGAATTTTTAATTTGAACTAGGAGAAGGGAGAAGAAGACTATCCGCGAAGTTATAAAAGGGCAGACGTGCGCCAGAGGGAACAGCGAGGCACGTTTGCTGCCTCCCAGTTGCTGCCACGTATATAGTGGCGAAGGTTCTCTTTCTCTCTCTCTCTTTCTCACTTTTATGTGTGGTGTGTGTATACGTGTGCGCGCGCACACAGGCGTGCACGTGCACTCACTCATATATTGTAGATACACACTTACGTACTATATATGTATATCTTCTTACTCTTTCTCAGTCTCTCTCTCTCTCTCTCTCTCACTTTCGCGTGCGCGCACATACACACACACACACATATATATATATATACGCACGCGTATCTGGCAGATCAATAATTTCTGATACTCGCAAATGTCGCATTTAAAATACAGGCTTTTACGGCGCACCAACCGTACTACTACTTCATCCTTTTGAAAGCAACGTTTTTCCTAGAGAAGTAGAAAAAAAGATGGGGAGTAATAGGTGGAATTAGATGGGTTGGGGGGGGGGGTTAAAAGAGTTTGAGATATTTTTTTTTGAACATACGAAAAAGATCGGTTTTCTTTGTCGTCGTTGTGTAATAATAGTAGTAGTAGTATTAATAGTAGTAGTGTAGTAATAGTAGTAGTAGTAGTAGTAGTAGTAGTAGTAGTAGTAGTAGTAGTGTGGTAGTGGTAGTAGTAGTCGTTGTGTCGTCGTAGTTTGCGTAGAATCGAAAGGCGGTATGGCGCAGCGAATCACCGACTGGCTGATTCGCTGATGTCGAGTAAGAGAGAGACAGAGAATCAGTGAGAAAGAAAGAAAGAGAGAGAGAGAGAATGAGAGAGAAAGAGGAGTCGACCGACACGACGAGTTAGAAGATTGCATGCGTTCGTTCCTTGTCTATAAGACCAGCTTATAGACTTCTAAGAAGAAACAGCGAAACGAACCGAAAAGAAAAATATAGGAAAAAAGATTTTTTTGTTTATCGCTAAGTATATTTAATGTGAGTTAATTTTTTGTATGAAAAAAAAAACAACATTTTAATCGAATTTTCATTGATATTTTCTTTTTTTGTTTTTTTTTGTTTTTTTTTTGAATATGCAAGAAACTACGAGAGTCAGTTTATACGTTGAAAAATATGAACACAGGAATTCTATATTTGTATAAAGGAACGATGGAATATTTTAAATATCGATTTAAAGAATTTCACTTATACAACGATATATGAGATCATATTCTTATTATAAATTATTACGTATTGATGATAATAATAATAATAATAATAATAATAATAATAATAATAATAATAATAATAATAATAATAATAATAATAATGCTTAATTCTTGGTATAAATTTGAAAAAAAAAAAGGAAAACGTTAGCACAAATGATTTAAGATGGTTTCTTACTTTAAAATTGAAAACATTGATCCGCGTAAGTATAAACGCGGGGTTCTCAAAGTAAAGTAAAGTAAATAATATGATTTATTCTATGAGAGTGAAGAATATATATATATATATGTAATGTATATACTCTTGTGAAATTCAAAAATGGCCGCTGCGAATATCCAAGAGACGTACAAATAGCCACCTCCCTTCTTCTTCTTCATCTTCATCTACTTCTTCCTCTTATTCTTATTCATTAGATATAACGTAGGTAAGAATTTAATTAGGTATCAAAAACAAAATAATCATCAATAGATTCAATAAAAAAAAAAATAATCTAATTAGAAATAATTATTGTATATTAATCTCTTTCGAGATTAATCAAAAAAAAATATATATATATATATCGTGTTTGCATAAAAGCGATCATTTCCCTTGTCGATCGTACCACCGTTGTTGGTTCGATCTGGCTACCTTCACCTCTCCCCCCACTCCATTTCCATTGCTACCACCTAACCCCCTTCCTTCCTCCTCCTCCTCCTATAAATAGTATCGTTAGATTTTCCCGGTTTTCAATAACCGTCGGCACCACGGGTGACGCCACTGGTGTCTTCCCTGGTGTCGCCACTGGTACTCTGTAGCCCATCACAACCGTTGTATCGTAGTTGTGTGTGGTGGTGCTAGTGTTGCTGCTGCTGCTACTTGATGGTGGTGAGGTGGTGGAGGTGGTAGTGGTGGTGCTGCTTCTGGTGGTACCGTGTTGCAATGCAAAGGATCTTCGGTAGTCTCTGGCGTTTCTACACGAATGTGAACGCAGTTGTTTTACCGCAGATCGCTCCCGTACGCCAGGGGAGGATGGTCGCTCGTAGTAAGAACCACTCTACTAGTGAGCTTTAATACACTCCGGCTTTTCTGTGCGTGTAAAAAACAAAAATAAGCTTCGCGTTGACTGATTTTGTTCTTCGTGGGCTCTCGAAGCTAAGTAAGTCGTTCATATAGTGTCTATTTTTTAGTAATTTATTCTTATTTAAGGTTAATAAATTTTGAGGTATCCATGACGCGTCCGAGTTATGTCCATTTACCATATCCAAGTTTTACATGTCTCGTTCTCTCTTTCTTTCTCTCCTTCTAGATGATATTTTATATATACGTATATATATATATATATTACTAAAGTATCTATTTTTATTTTTTTTATTCGTTTCGTTTGGATTATGATTATATATTATTACTATTGGTTAAAATTCTAGGGACTACTAGTTTTATTAAAATGTCTGCTGAGTCTAGTACTATTTACTAAGTAATATTTACTACTATAAATAAGTAATATTATTAAATAATTACTAATTATTAAAAAATAAGTAATATTTACTACTACTATTAATACTAATATTCTTGAAAAATCTCTAGGGCTTCTTAGTATTTTTGGAGTCCTAGTAATTTTAGTACTATTACTAACAGTGTTGTTATTTATTACTATTATTAATATTTAAAAATTGATATTTAGTATTATTAATTATTAATAATTAATACTACTACTATCTCTATTATTATTACTACTATATATATATATATATATATATAAACGCATAATTTGTAGTATCTTCCTGTTCTCACTAAATTTTTGTGCGACGTGTTCATCGAAAGGCGCGCAGTCGTGAGCGAAACCGAAACGAACTCGTCAGATAAATGTCCATTCGCTTTACAATAATGGAGACATTTTAAGTTGTACCATTAGTTGTAACATTTTAGTTCTTATTCAGTAACGGTTCGTGTTTGTGATGTTAATAATATAAACGTGGGTTGTGTAAAGTTCATTTTTAAGCATTTATATTTATATTAATAATATTTGACTTAAAAATATTATTATTATTTTTTATTTATTTTTTTTTTAATTTTCTAACCTATTTATTAATAAATTAAGTACTGATTAATTTATATATATATAGGTGAAATAATACTGAATAATAGATTCTACTTGTACACGTGGATTTTATTTTTATACACGGATTAAAGTATGCAAGTGGTGAATTATTATTTCTTAACACTTTACCGACCGACAGTCGATTAATCGACTCTTAGTTCTCTGCGTTTACCGACCGGTAGTCGACTAATCGACTTTTATATTCGACAGAGCTTACCGATAAATATTGTTTGCACTAATATCATTAAAATAAAAGATTTTATTAAATGTGGTTATCTTATAATAATACAAAGCGTACAATTTTACCAGTTCATAAAAAAAGCGCATATATTCAAACGCGACCATGTTACACAAAGCCGAGCCGGTGTCAGTGATGTGACTGATTGGCCAGTGAGAAAGGCATAGGATTCTCGAATCGCCGGAATTTACCGGCCAGCAAAGTGTTAAGATAAATTATACAATATTCATTTGTAATTTTATTTTTTTGTGTGAATTTATAAAATATATATATGCACGTGTACTATATATATATATATATATATACACATTACACTTGCTTGTGTAAGGTTAGTAAAAAATTAGGTTAGGGGAACATTTGATTGCATTACATTATCATATAGTACATTTTTAAAAATCTAAACGCGATAACTATGATGATCATTGTTATTATTGAATTTATTGTTAGATTACTTATGTCGGTTAATAATATATCAGTTAGGTTGTATATCAGATCACTTTTATATAGATAATTTTATTACTCATTGCAGATCTCTACTGGCATGGAGCTGGGAGCGCACTGATAGTAATAATTTATGAGGTTAGTACGGATATTATTATTAATTACTAGTTTTCCTTTAACGCGTTCAGTGTTTAAAATAATTTAATTTATCAACGTTGAAAACAAGAGATTAAAATATTAATAATCTGTTTAACGTTACATGCGAAGAAATCATTTTCTTATTCAGATCTTGGTTTTTATGAATTGCCTGCCAAAGAGGAACCCAGCCAGATGTTTCCACATTATTCTAGTTTACATGAGATTTATACAGAAACAAATGCCTTCGTACAAAATTCCATGGTAAATAATTGTATTTATTTCATTGTTTTACAATTTAATATGTTTAACTGTATATACCAAAATCTGTGCTATATTTCATGCTTTGTTTTTTTTCTTACATTGAACCAATAAGATTTTGTCATAAGTTTGATCTTTTATTTCTCAAGTTTCAATTGTAAAACATATTACTAGTTTTATTGATTGTTATAATAGTGCAACGGATTGATTATTTGAATTTTATTGATTAGTTTTATTTATTTGTTTGTTCATATTTTAGGGGGATGAAGTAGTATTAGGGGTAAGGAGTCTGTATTGGGAGGGAGAATGGGAAAGATCAGATTCGATTGATTGCTGGTACTGTGATATCAAATCCATAAACAGCAACAAGATGGCAGTAAGTACTGACCATCCGAAAGCTACCGCCGCCAATGACATATTAACCGTCCTGCCAAGCCAAACCAGTAAGTACCTTTATGTTTTTTATCATATGTGCATACTACATCGCTTTGATTATCATGAAATTGATCTTTAAGTTGAAATCATATAGATATATTATTTATTTTCTTAAAGATTGTATATATAAGCTGAAGAAACTCATGTGGATCAGCTGTGTAGTTATTGTTGATATTATTCGATTCATTTCTTTTTTTTTTAAATTGTAATCAACCACCAATAAAATTAATGCATATTTAAAAATGATATGAGTAATGATATGAGTTTTTATTTTACAGGTGAGTTAAGCTCAACTGGTATAGGTAAGGCCTGCCAGTCAGTGGCGCCAGTAACCACAAAAAACCCAACAAATTTCTTTCTAACTTACGATAATAATAAGGTAAATAACGCAAAACATAATCATCACAAGTACAGAAAGCAAAACACACTGGGCTTGCTTGGTCAGCTGGGCAGCTCCGCCAATAATTCTAAGTCTACTTTTAAGACATTAAGTGATAATAAGTATAGTTTCAGAAATGTAAGCGTTAGGGTACTAAGTATAAATGTATATCTACAAGTTTCAAGGGGTGAAGTGTATCGCACCATTGGGGTACCTAGCCTAGTTAGGATACCCAAGTCTGATTGCCCCAAATGGTTGCTATGCCTCCCTAACTTTGACAACAGTTACTCTATACTAGGGTTTCGCCTTGAGCTAGGCGACAACAATAAGATTAAGGCTCATTTTAGTTTGATAAGTAATAATAACTCCAAGTCTGTGATATTGCTCAGCTCAATCAGGAACAGTGACCATTGTTTCCTGCTTGGCGGTGGTCCTGTCGAGATAGATGCTATTATTACTCAGCAATTCGGTATTATAAAGGATGTTGCAAAGAGATGGAAACTACTAGGTCATAAGTATGTCCTGGTTATTATCAATTCTCATGAGACATCTAGACTGCTAATCAGACGTTATTGCAAAACGTCTAACGATAATTGTAACGTTGTTCGATTAACGTTAGCTCTCGATAAATTATGGAACCTATTATTAAAATCGCATTTCGGTGGCATCGATTTTTTAATAATATCGGTTCCCATAATAATAATACTAATAATAAGCGAACAGAATTTAGCGATATTCACCGCCAGTTCTTCCATTACGCTTATCGTTTCTGAAAACGAAGTAACTGACCACATCTCGCGATCTTTCCTGGAAAATCTCAAGCAACTCCGTGTACAATCTTTTACTTCTCCATTATCTAATGTCACTGTTACCGAGCTGATGCAACTCATATGTGTTCCAATATTAAAACATTATAAGGGTAATAATAATAATAATATTAATAATAATAATAATAATAATAATAACGATAATGAATATTATAAGAAGAACATTAGCATCAGTAGTATTGAAGAAGAAATTAATAGTAATAACAATAATCCAGATGTTATCGAAGACATTGTTGAGATCGCTGTGTGCTACCAGACTAGTTATATAAATACTAATAATGTTAGGATCTTAGCGTTCGAAAATGATGGTATTAGTCGTACCGAAGCAACAATATTTACTGTTGGTGCTCTTTTATTTCAGGATAACAATAAATATAAGAAGCCTCTAAATACTAGTTATAAGGTTAGCGACTATAGTAGATCAGTGGGTTCTGATCTTCAATCTAACTTTATCATTAAGTCTGTATCTAAGTCTATGTTAAATGATAAACTTAGGATTAAGTGTGAAATGTCTCTAACCGCTCGATTAAACGAATCTGACAAGAGAAAGCAAGTTAGGTTGGCTGCCAACATTCCTATAATGACTACCTGCGAGCCTACGATGACGCTTACAAGCCAATCAGCCACCATCACATCCCAAACAATCGGTGTACCTGTATGTCGAGCGGATAATAATCATCGCGTATGTGACGATGGGATGCGAGCAGAATTTTTGAATACATTTCAGAATGACCAAAAAATATGTATCCAGCGTATGTTGTTGGCAAGTCGCACAGATGACAAATTAACGAATGACTTGCGTCTTACATTAAACAAATCAACTAAACAAACTTACATCGAGAAGCTCCGATCTTTATCTATGGATGATTACGACAATGAAGGTCCAATGGATTCTTATTATAATCATCTCAAGAAGGCATCTAGTAATCGTAGTCTACCAAATTCTTACTACGATAATGATAATGATTATGATTATAATTATGATTTTAATGTATGCGATTTCGATATTAGGAAATTTTATTCCAAATCAATTGACTTACAATGGTCTAGTTTAATATCGTATATACGCTATTTAATATGTGCTTATCATAAAGCATATAAAATGGACGGAACAAAATCTGAAGATCTATTGGGACAATTAAAGTATTTATTGAATATATATTTCGATAAATCAATGCGACAATTCAACAAGATTTACGAGCCAATATTAAATTACAAACAACGATGGGGTATTTCAACGATATTAAAATTAGCAGGAGGTGGTGAAAGTTCGCTAAATAGTGGAGGAGCTACTAATTGGGGTTCTACGCAAACTACCGCACCCAATAATAATAATACTAATCAATCAGGATGGGTTGGTACACCAGGAAATGCACCTGGAAATGCTGGTACACCTAGCAGTTGGGGTGGAAATTCTGTAAATAGATCTGTATCTGGTAATCCCAATCAAAATCAGAATCAAGGCCCACCTGGTACACAAAATGCATCAGGTAAATTAATATCAATTATATATATTTTAATATTTTGAACAAATACATCATATATAATGATTATTTTTTATTCATATAGGAAACGTGAATAAAGTTAATAATCCGAATCAACAATCGAATCAGCAATCTGGTCCACCTACCTCTCAGTCAAATTCTTCTCAAGGGAATCAGAATAGTAGTCAATGGTCTCAGGGAAAATCTAATAATCCAGGTGGTCCAGGACAAAATCCACAAAATAATAACAACAGTGTTGTACAACAACAATCGGGAAGTTCTACTGGTGGTAACAATCCATCTAATAACAATGCGCAAGGATCTGTGAGTAGCGGAAACACATCGGCTAGTAATAATCCATCGACTAAGCAACAGCTTGAACAATTGACTACGATGAGGGAAGCGCTTTTTAGTCAAGACGGATGGGGCTGTGTAAGTATTAATAATAAATATTATTATTTATGACAAAAATAAAATCAAATTTACAAAAATGATGTTTGTTTTTTTTTGTTTTCGTAGCAACATGTGAATCAAGATACGAGTTGGGACGTACCAAGTTCTCCTGAGCCGAATCCAGCCAAAGATGGTGTTCCAATATGGAAACCAGCCGTAAACAATGGTACTGATTTATGGGAAGCTAATTTACGAAATGGTGGTCAACCTCCACCTCATCAACAATCCAAAACTCCATGGGGTCATACTCCTGCAACTAACATTGGTGGTACTTGGGGCGAAGATGATGAAACGACTGACACATCGAATATGTGGACAGGTGCTCCTGCACCTTCTCAACCGAATGCAGCTCAATGGACTGCCGGTAATCAAGCCGGTATGTGGGGAGGGTAGGGCTAGTGAAGGCTGGAGATGCCAAAACTTTAGGAAAAAGATATTTTCAAATCTTATTGAAAGATGTCGTCTTTTGATAAATTGTTGTGCAATGTTTTTTATTATTATTTTCATATCAATTGAATATTTTGTAATTTTCTGTCTTTTTTTTTTTTTTTTTTTTTTTTT